TAGATGTGTTATGCTCACAGGCCTTGGGTAGCCTGAGACTAAAATAAGCGCTCCATTTATAAAAGAGGAGAAAATAACTTAAAATTTTCTATGTGGGCTAAAGGGAGAGGTAATTCACAAATTCAATACATTCTGAACACATTCAAGAAGTCAGGTAAACATAAGGCATAAACAAATATCAGTGACCACAGAGTCACAGAAAAAATGTGGTTAGAAAAGACCTCTGGAGATCGTGTCACCCAGCTCCCTGTGGAAAGAAGGACTAGCCTCCAAGTCAGACCAAACTTCAAAGCTAGATAAGCTTGTTCAGGGTCTTAGGTGGTGAGTTTGAAGTAGTATAGCTTTTGATTTTATATCCACCTTCAGATAAAGTGTAGGGCATGATTATTAAAGAGAGTAATATGGAAAGTGCCAGACTACAGTTTTTAAAAATAAATTGAATGTTTTATTAATTCATCCGTACATTGCATGAGCTACTTTCTTCAGACTTAGTTAAATCACATCTGTTTCTCTTATTTTATGCCAGACTATCAGCCTTGCTAAGGTTTTTACAAATGTGTCAACATCAAGTCAGAGCAACGATCCACATCTTCTAATGAGGAAGCTGCTTTTGAGCTAGAAATTTCCCCTTGGAACAACTGCTTAGATTCAAAACAAGCAGATTCCATCCAAGACCATTGAGCCATGTTAATTCAGATATCTGCATCTAATGTATAATTAAGGTTAAAGCTCTTCAAGTGCTACCAATGAGCAGCCTTTTATTTTATTTTTTTCCTTTCAAGAACAAATTAGAACAGAATTATAAGCACAAAACTAGATTCAAGTCATTTTACTGTATTATGCTGTAAGTTAAGCTTACATTTATGGTTTGACTTTTTTAAACCACTAGGCTTCAATATGTACAGAGGTCCTTTTGCATTTATTTCCTTGAGATTGTTTTGCTTTTCAAACATTCATGGGTAGTTTTTGGAGAATACAATAATCATAAGGAAAATGAGTTTTCATAAACAAATACATAGGTCGTTAAGTAACAAAGTCATGTCTCTCATCCATGAGGATAGTTTCATACTGGTTAATAGTATTCATTCAAATATATTTTTATATGTGCTATTTTCATGATAAACTGAAATGCTCCAAAAGGAGACATTATTTTCTAGGAATAGTGTGTGTGCATGTGTGTATATATATTTACATATAAAATGTAAAATACATGATGTTTACCTGACAGATCAGATTCTATGGAACCATTCCACATCATATTTATGTATCTTTGATTTAGAAAACTATAATGCCTGCAGTGAACTGCATAAATTCAAATCTAATATTATTAATTCTGAAAACATAAGGCAACTACCTGTAAAGGTACAGACATCATGCAGTTATACATAAGGCATATTTAATTTTAGGCAGATACTGAGACAGAAATAAATATTCATACATAACTCTTAACTCCTGATAAATCTGTAAATGAACCATTGTAAATCAGACTTACACTTCAAATGAGGTCTAAAGAAAATTTTGTTTAACAACACCAAAGAGAGATTCCAAACCCTCTAAGTTTTCAGTTTAGCATGCGGATTTAAAATACAGTAAACTTAAAAGACAACTTGTGCACAACGCAATTTAAGGTTTGATCATAGAAAATAATTTTGTGCCTAGACAGCTGGTGAAACTGTAAAACAGCATTGCTGGACTTTATCACAAAGATATCCACACTGGCAACTTCGTTAAATTTTCAGCTCCTGAAATTGTTATTAGTGGGAATTTTAGAATTTCATACAGGGGAGAGAAATATGCATGAATATATTTATATTTCTTCAAATTACAGAAAAAAATAAAATGGTGATTTATGTAAAGACTGAAAAAGACAAAAAAAAGCAAATTAAGAAGAGCTCTTATATCTTGAGGTGTTGGTTTTTTTTTTTTTTTAATTAATTTGCCTAATTCAGATACTTGAACTCGCAATATTGTGCAGTACTTACACAACTTTAAAAGCAGTATGAGAGCAAAGGATTGCTTGCAAGCTATAGAAAAAGGCCTCAAAACAGTAAATGAATGCAAGCAAAAATACATCCCAAGCATTAGCACTGCTCAAGGAAAACACAACTATTTTCTGCTATAACAGCCAATGTAATCATGTTCTGTACATTTCCTTCTGTTCAAACACTACCAAGTTGCCCTTTTGATAGCAGTCAGGGGTCCTACATCTAATTACAACAAAGGTTTTTAATTAAACCTTGAATATGCTTTAACAGCTTCTAGCATGAGCTTGCCCTTGATGGTGCCACTTGAGGTGCTCTCCTTCAAGGGATGATGAAGTAAATCTCTTAAAACCATGGGTGAAGATGCCTTTTTCTTGTGTATACTACTGCTTTTCACAGCTAGCTAGCTACAAAGCTGCTTGCATCGGTATCAAGCTAAAAGAGCTTTCCCTGTGGGAGCTCTCCACTATCTCCAAAATATACCGCTTGCTATATTCTTGATGTAGGAGGAAAGTGCACTTAAAATATTAAGTAAGCACACAAAATGGTCTCGAATATGAGCCCAGTCCAACTGGATGAACTTACTGGGAGCCCTTCCACTGACTTTAGTAGGAATTATAATGCACTAGCAGAATGTGAAGGCATACAGTAGTGTCTCATATTTCAGGTCTCCTCAGAGTACAGAATTGTGCGCCAAACATGAGGAAAATTAATTCTCCCCCCCCCACACCCCAGTCACCTCAAATAAAACAATCATTCCCTTCTTCCCTAGTAGCGTGTGAAACCTGGCTCCACTAGACTAGAAAGTATCTAAGGAAAATAAGTAAAGCTCATTCAATGAACTTGAATAAAACTGTGCAGGCAGGAATCTTCACACAGTATAGAAGAAAGCTTCAGGAGAGGGCAAATTTTCAATAAACAGAAATATTTTATTTCTATCCATCCACAATGATTCATCTTCCATCTTTCCATAAACAAATAGGTAACTAATAAAGGAATGAGATAAATTAGTTGCCTTACATGTGGTTCCATAAACTGTCCTGCTTCTTTTAACGTCCCACTGTGTGCGTGCATGTGTGTATGCACATGCGTGGTGGGGCACAGGTTGAGGGGGGAGCCCAGTGAAGTGTGTGTGGGGCAGGGGGATTTGAAGCAGGTTCTCATTCAAGCCAGCTAAAAGGTCCTTCTGCAATCAAGGGGATACTATTTCAGGAGACAGAGAGAAGGGGCAAAGGATTCACGTTGCTAAGGAGACAGTAGAAGCTGACATTCCTACATAAATTTCCATTTATACCAGGGAAGGAAAAGAAAGCTCCCTGAAGTTTGTGTACCCGGGTAACTGATTGAAACTGACGGTTCTTTACAATTCGGTTTGAGGATATGTGATTTAAAACAAAATTCAAAACAACATTCAAAACCTCAAATATTACTCCACACAAGTATAGAAAGACAAGAACAGGAGCAAAGGAACCTGTGCAATTTCTACTCAAAGATCAGCAATTTCCTAGAACCTGTAAGAGGATTTCAGAGAAGCCAGAAAAAGAAAAGCCATCTAGAACATACAGACAGTCTCCTTACCCCTTTCCCAAAACAAGCATCTCATCCCTGTGTGATTTACCAGAAGCAAGAGAGCACAGTGATCCAAACGGATGATATAGCAACGCAAGCATGTGTGAGGGGAGCATGGGGGTGGAAATGAGGGGCAGAGGGGAAGAGAAGAGGCCAGCTTTGTTTGTAAATGTTTCTGTTGGGATTCCTGATATTGGAATCAGCATAAAGTAAATAAAACAACACATAAAACCAGAAACGATTATCGAACTACAAAAGAATTTACTGAAAAAATATTCAACAGGCGGCAGCTTGTTTGTATCACTCACAACCAGCTGAGTGGTTTTTTTTTAGTACCCCAAGCAACAGTGAAATGGCGTTAGAAATAAATACTATGACCAAAGACATAGAAACCTGAAGAACAAAAGAACATCAAGAAGTCAAAATGTGGCAAGAAGGAAAAGAAGTATGATAGACAATGGGAGCAATAGCAGTACATGATAGAAAAAGGTATACACGAGTACACCAAGAGGGATGGAGAAAGCTAGAATCCAGATGTCTTCATGTGGGACAAAATAGCATTTTGTTTTATTTATTTATTTATTAAGATTAGGAAGCCTCAGCTTTCCATGCCTGGTGACTTCTGGGGATGGGGACGTAATGATAAGATCCTTGATCCTCAACAGCTTCTCCTTACACGATAACAACGGCCACAAAGAAAAATAATCAAAAGTAGGCTAAACTCGGGATCTTTTGTGAAAGCAGTCAAGCAGAGATAAGGAATCAGTCACCTCTTTCACTTACAGAAGCTATCCTTAAGCCTCTCCTGCATCCTAGACCGTCACGCGGGGAGGGGAAATAGCAGACGGTTGACTCCCGAAGCCCTCCCCAGAGCTTTATTTCCAGAAATCCCTGCCCTCGCCTTCGCTCGCAAGGCGGAGGAATTGGGGCTGGAGCAGGGCGGCACGGGAGGGCGCCCCGCTGCACCAAGGCGGGTGGGGACGGCGGGCGGAGAGGAGAGCCCCGGCCCCGGGAAGGCAGAGGGGAGGCGGCAGAGGCCGAGCACGGGGCGGAGAGGGGCCGGGAAGGGCGCTCAGGGCGGGTGGCCAGGAGGCGCCCGCGCCCGTACTTTTCCCGACGGCGGTGGCCGGAGCAGGGAGCAGGGCTGCGAGTGGGAAGGCAGCGGGCGAGGCGGGGAGCTCGGGTAGAAGAGGGAGCGGCGGAGCAGAGCCTCGGGCACCGTTCCCATACGGGAGGGCTGTCCCCAAGAGCAAGGACCCTGTCCCGAGCCGCTCGCAAACCCAGGCGACCGAGGAGAGCCGGCTTTGGGATGGCGGGGGCACGCCGGCGGGGCAGCCCGGGCACGGAGATCTCCTGGCGGCCGCGGCGGAGCCGGGAGAGCGGGAGGCGGCTCGGGGACAGGGGGGACAAAGCGGAGGGGCAGGGGGAGCGGGGGCAGCCGTATCTTACCGCTGTGCAGCGTCGACTCGCAGAGCCAGCTGTCCAAGTTTCCGGGCTTGCGGCAGGACTCCCACAGAGACAGGTAGTACTGGTGGTCCGCCGTCACCCAGGCGGGGCTCAGCACGGCCCCCAGGTCCAGGCACAGCGCCAGGAAGATGCACACCAGCCCCACCAGCTTCAGCGGGGTCAGCACCGAGACGCGCACCTCCTCCATGCCGCTGCCGGACGAAGCCATAGGGACCAGGGGGAAGGAGGAGGAGGAAGATGAGGAGAAGGATGCGAAGCCGCCAGCCCCGAGGGGAACAGGAGCGAAAGCCCGGCTCCCAACAGGAGAAGCGGGGGGCGGGAGGAGCAGCGAGACCAGCGCTGACTAACGGCGGGGAGAGGCTTTCGCAGGCAGCACAGCTCCCTCCCTCCTCCGCCGCGCTCCCGCCCCGGTGTATCAGGTGCAGCAGCTCCCCCTGTCGCGCTCGGCTCAGCCCGGCCCGGCCCGGCCCGACCCCGCCGCGCTCCTCCCCCGGCCCGCCCCCCGCCTGGGGCGGTGCCCGGCCCCGCACGGCTCGGTATGGACCCTTATGGCCCCGCTCGGGGCGAAGTTTGGGGAAGTTTCCCCGCTCAGCCCGGGCAGAAATGCGTGGAAGCGGCGGGTGCGGGTGCGGCCGGGGCTGGGTGCTCCGCGGCAAAGCGCCGGGGAGCGGGGAACCGGGAGAAAAGAAAAGCCAAGCCAAGCCAAGCCATCTCGGGTTGGGGATTAGCAGTGGCTGACCTTGACTCCTTTTCTCAAATGACCTTTAAATCACAAGTCTTCAGTATAAGGTTAAAAAAGAAAAAAATCAAGGTTTCGTTGTTCACGCACGGGCGTACTGGTAATTCCCTTCTCTCTCTCCCATCAGCTGCCTTTCTGAACCCAAATTAAATCTCAAGAAAGGATAGGTACTTTGACCAGCTTCCATTTCATCTCTGTTTATTTTGCTTAATTAGTATTACAGTACTGAGAATGTCAAGGGTGCATATTTTGTCTAGTTATTAAACACTGTCTGCCTCACAAGACAAAAACACATGCAGGGATATCGTATAACATCCATTAAGGACTATTAAAAAAGAAAAAGAAAGAAAAAAAAAAAAAGATTCAACCTTCAGATTTGAAAGGGAACACAGTGACTGAGATTTGAGGCAGAACTATAAAAATACGAAGGGAGAAATCAAGCCCAAAAAGCCATTGTCAGGTGTAGAAACAGGAGAAAACCCTGCTCCATAAGTCTTTCTTGTATCTATGGGAATATTCTCAGTAATTTCAGAAGGTGCATGAATAAATCCTAATGATTTAGACAAATTCCTCACTCTATTTCACTGTTTGTAGTCCTTTAAGGCAGAAACAGAAAGAAAGAAAGAATATTATTCATATTGCAGGCTCCTTGGAGCACGAACAGCTTTACTCTTACAGCTGTTTACAGGAGTAAGTGTTTGAGGTGTAGTTTTGACTTCTCAGTGACATTGCATTGGATTACACATTTTGCAACAATTCCTCCTTTTCATAAGCATTTAGGTGCCTCCTCTGTTAGAAACACAACCACCAAAGTTCACTGCCCTGATACCATAGTAGGTGTATCAGGATGCATATACAATGTAATGTTAGCAGAAGTTTTTTTAGCAGGTGTATTCAAAGGGCTATAAGCCATAAATATTTGTGAAGCTGCTAACTCCAGTCTGTCATTAATCCTGAAGAAGAAATGCATTTCCTTGACCTGCTACTGCTAACGTTTGAAAAGAAGTTTTTTGTTATTGTTTTTTTTTTTTTTTTTTTGATATTTTTTAATGTCTGATATAATTTGAGTAAGTATATATCAGAAGCAAGTATGTTAACTAATTGGTTTGTCTGAGTCATGTTTCTATTACCTCTCAATTGTAAAATGATAATTATTGGAAGAACATAGCAAATAAAATTAATATATATATATATAAAACAAACAATGGGAAAGGCTTTAAAAATGGATAAAAATTGTAGTTTTGCCAAGCTAAGCACACTATCTCAAAACTGTATGAAATGCAGAATCATGGTTCTGTTCCAGTATTTCATAAAAAGAAGGAGAAAATACCAACAGTTGAAACATATGAAAACTTGGGAAATTATGTACTGAAATAGCACTGGTATCTATAGTTAATGTTGCCAGCACTTTCTGTACAAGGCTCAATTTGTTTTTCTTTATTAAACCCTGGTTGTTAGGGCTGGGCTTGCCTCTGCAAGATATCTGCATTAAGTTGATTTATTTTTTTTTAAGTTCTAGCTAAAGTTGAGTTATATGGATTCACTGTCTACAAAACAAACAAACAAACCTAACCTAACCAACCAACCAAACAAACAAACAAACAAAATTTCAACACATTTTAAGGTGAGAAGCAGAAAGTTGACCCACAACCACACGAAACCACCACAACCTACACACTATGCCTCAGTTTGGTATGCTCAAGAGATCTGTGTTTGTGTCAAATTCTCCAGAGATTTAATCCGTAGTGAGTGTACTGCAGCTGTTTACAGCTTTTGTGTCTGAATGAACAGTGTATCAGCAAATGAATGCTGAGACATGCTCCGGCCTGGGCCTTCTAGCCATCCACTAGCCCTGGAAGTACCTGGAGAGCCTGCTCTGGACATGAGAAGGAGCAGGGAGATTTCCCCTTGCTGAGGAGACGCAACAAGGAGCACGGGAGACACAGCCCAAGCAGTGGGACTGCTTGGTTCTAAGGCATGATCAGATATCAAGGGTCCAAAGGATGTGAAAACAGCCTGGGGTACTTCCCAGAGTACAGGAGGGCTGGATAGAAGGAGGCAGAGATGGCCTAAGTGTGCAAGCAAGGATTAAGTGAATAGAGGGAAAATGGGAAAAGACAGCATGGAAAAACTGAAATAGCATACTTTGTAACAAAGTAACAAGCACCATTGCCTCAGAAATTTGTCTTTGAATTACAGAGTACTATGACAATCTTTTTACCTTTGGTGAATGGATATGAAATCAACTAGAAAACTCACTGCCCTGCCTTCCTGGGTGGTCAGTCTACAGAAGGAGCAACTACTGAAACTATTAATTCAAGTGACAAAGATCTCCTCTCTGTCACTATGACAACCTTACCTTTGCTGATAGCATAAGTTCCGGGTCAGTGTAATTTCACAAAATGTGCATTTTCACTGTACAAATTATTCATTTTTGTCTGAATGACTTAACTGGGATAGAGGTTGGAAGCTCATGTCGATAAATGAAATCAATTGCAAGGATGTAAAACACTATAAACTTGTTAACTATTCCCAAATATGAGGTTCAAAGCACCCAATTTCTCTTATCATCAGTGGACAGTTCAGGTAATTCTCAACAAATCTGTATATGAAATTCCTCTTATGAAACATAAAATTATATACCTTCTACAAATCTGATAGACACATTAATTGCTGTTTATGAGGACTCGTGCTAAAGTCACAAAGACAATAGAAGAATCCAAATGTAATTAATACTGTTGTATTCAGCAAGAAGCTAATATGGAAATACAATGTGCAATAAAAATAAATAAATAAATTGCAAAGCTTCTAAAAAAGTATGGATTGCCTGCTTTGTCTCTTTGGACAAGCAGGGATCCTCTGGAAACATAGGTCATGCTCATATACTAATTTAGTGTGTGAACATTAAAGTTATTCAGTATCTATGTGGAAACATCTGAATTAAACCTGTCTAAACCTTGCCATTTCTAAATGCTACACTCTGGAATAAAAATATATTTAAAAATACAATATGCTATTATATATATAATTTAAAATAGAAAAATTCTAATTTAAATCATGACCTAGTATTTTTCTAAGATATTTAAGTATGTTATAAAAGTAAACATTGTAGGAGCCCATTTTTAAAATGACACCGTATTTCTCAACAGAGGTATTTTTCTTAAGATATCACAATAGCACCAACATTTAACCTCTGTCTGTTTTGTTTTGTTTTCTCACCAGTTTGTCTTTTGACCATCTCCTCTTTCTTCCTCTCTTTTTTTCCCCCTCCTCTTTCTTTCTGAGTTCTCTGTTTTTCTTTTGGCATTTTTATCTCTCTTGTAGATCATACCATTACATCCATAAGCCATAGAGTCAAAGAATATTTTAGGCTTGAACGGGAGTTTCAGAGATCATCTAGCCCAACCTGCTGCTCATAACAGGTCTAATCAGATCAAGTTGCTCAGGGCTGTGTCCACTTGAGGCTTGAACATCTCCAAGGATGGAGATGTTGCAGTCCCTCTGGGACTCTGTGCCATGCTGTTTGAACATGAATGTGGTAAAAATAGATCCTAGTATCTAATCAGAATTTCCTGTGTTATACCTTTTCCTTGTTGCCTCTTTTACTATCACCATGTACCTCAGAGAAGAGTCTAGCACCATCATTTTTGTGTCCTCTGGCTAGGAAGTAGTAAGGTCTCCCACACCTTCTCTTCTCAGTGCTGAACAAACCCAGCTCTCAGCTTCTCATATATCAAGAGCTCTGACCATCCACATTGCCCTGTGCAGGACTCACTCCAGGATGTCAATATGTTTTCTGTACTGGGAAGCCAAAACTCTGGACAGATCATTCCAGATATGGTCTCACAAGTGCTGAATAGAGGTGAAGGATGAGCCTCCTGGTATGCTGGCTACCGTCTTTCTACAACAGCCCAGAATGCCGTTGGACTTCTTTGTTGCAAGGGCATGTTGCTGGCTCTTGTTCAGCTTGTTGCCCACTTTGCCCACTGGGTCTTTTTGTGCAGAGCACCTTCCTAGCTGGTCAGTCCTCGCCCTGTGCAGGTGCATGTAATAATTAGCCCCATGGTGCAAGAATTTATTTGCAATCTTAATCTTTGCAAAGTTCCTGTCAGATTCCATACTTCGTCCTTCACAGGTCCTTCAAAACCACAGTCCTGTCCTTCAGTCAATAGGCAGCAACACACCCACACCCACACCACTCAACATCATCTGCAAATTTGCTGAGAGGGTTCCTCATGCTGTCATAAGTCCCAGCTGCAACGCGTGTATATACCTGGTAAAGGGTCCTTCCAAGTCAGAGCTGGAGAGGTATTCTTGAATCTGATAAACACTACATAAGGAACACTGAGTGAGACATGCTTTTTTCCCCTTCTGCCATGAGCAAGACTCTTGCATGAGAGCAGTAACAAGCAGTCAAAGGCCTGTCCCATATGTATTGAGCTGCCTTCTACCTCTGCTGTTAATACTTTACAGAATCAATAGGAAGAGCTGTGTGGTGAAGGGCTCCTGAGAAGGTTCCAACCTAGCAAATATTAGAAACTATGAAAATAAGACGTTGATTTCCATGGGGCTTCTTCCATTGTGCATAGTGTCTTAATACTAGGTCCTGCAATGATAGCAGTAGTACTGAGGCAGCAGTTCAGTTATCTTTCCCTAAAGGCGGTTAGGGTCTGAATTATGCATGGGCTGAGGTCACTGCTGCTGTCATGTGTATTTTTAAATTAGTTTCTAAAGCC